AAATAAATTCAACTGATCTAACACCCCTAATTTTAGATTTGGCTTCACACTATGATTTTTGTCAATACTGTCCAAAATATTGTATTCCTTAATTACTTTTGTTTATAATGAAAGTTAAATGAAATCTCTAAAACTGGTTGGAACATAAAATATTAGTAGTCTTGGATTAAAAAATTTGCCATGTACCAAAATCTTGATTGTAACATGCTCCTGAACCAGTAGGTTATTTAAGACAAATGTTACATGGACTACAAGTGTGTAAAAACAAAACCAAAAAAATAAAGAACACAAATTTTTAAAAAAAGGAACAAACCCACAAAAATTTCCACTGGTTCAGCTTTCTTTGCCAATAGTAATTATATGACAATTTGGCATGCTCTAGAAGAGTTAAGAAAAAGTTCTTTTAAATTTCATGATAGGTTTAATTCAGTAATTGTGGGGATGGGGAACCATTAAAACAAATTCTTATGATATCTGATATGTCCAATTACATGGGTATGATGTAACAAAATGGTTACAAACTTATATCTGCATATGTACATTATATACTCAAAACTGTCAAGCTAGTTAACTATACATAAGGAAATACAATATGACAAGAGTTAAACAATTTTTCATTGCTTATTAGAAAGAATGCAGTCAAGCTTTTAATGGAAATAATATACAAGTGAGGCACTTTTGAGGTCAAGAATAGAAAGCAAATGACACTATATACTGGCAATGTTCACAAAAAAATCTATGTGTATCTTTAATACAAAGATTTCTCAACTAGATTATTTTTAAAAAATTTCAAAACTAACAACTTATGCAATTGAAGAAGCTTTCTCGAACAATGGCTAACATTTATCAGTATACCAAAGCATATGAAAGTATTATAACCACCTGGCTGCTAGGCAAACAGTACCTTAATACCTTAAAGCCCTTTTAAGTGTTTATTTGGTTTATATTAATCATCTCAGGCTGTGTTAATTTTTTAAAAAGTTTTATGTATGACTCACTGCAAAAACACAATATGGTGCTATCATCATCATTTATAGACATTTTTTTTTAGTGCAACAATAATGCAAGTTTCTAGTGCTTTCCTTTATATTTAGAAATGTGATTCATGAGGATAACAAGAAAAGTTAACAGTATTTTGTATAGGTACGTAAAGTTTTGAATGTTTCATTTAGTAAAATGTTACACATGCTCAATAGACCACTGGACTAGGATTAAAAAATCTAATCTTAAACACAATTTCAAAATATTAATCACCAAACCAAATTTTAAACAAAAGAAACAGCTTTAAATTCTCTAAATTGTCTATATGGGGGAAAGTGCACTTTTCCTGTGCTCTGCAGACTCATACTAAGAAAATCCGTGTCATTCAATTAGGAGGAGAAAAGGAAGAAGAAAAAGATTTACCCAAGAAATCAGATGGCACTATAAACATGAATTGAAAGTGCATTTTGTATTACAGGAAGTCCCTGGATTACGACTTACTCCTAACTTGTCCTTTTTCATAGTACATATATTTGTCCTCTCTTTGAAATTACTGAGCTAAACCTAATGGCAAAAAATTCACTATTACTTGCTGCATATGCAGCTTTTACGTAACTGAAAAGGCTTCAAATCTTTCTTGCACTAAAGAAAGGCTAAGTAAAAACCATATGTATGCACCTATTCCAAATGACCTATACAATCTTTTTATTTTTTCACCTACACATTCTTAAAGACAAAGTTAGGAGAGAATCTTTATACTCAGAGACTATCTGCACTTCAAAAGTTCATTTTAGGCACTGCTGAATAACCAATGGAAATAGGTAGTTTCAAGTTTTTCCCTTTATTCACTTCTGCCCTGATATCTCAGAAACACACAAACATATTCTCTCTGAAGTTGTCATGATGAAATAGAGTTGATTATGTTCGTCTTAGTATTTTAAAAACTCTCCCTGATTGGTAATGGGAGGAAAAATAAGAATACCATTTTTGCAATGGCTTTCAAAAAAAGGAACTGGTTCTATAAAAGCTTGAGCACATCCATTTAGTTTGATTACCAGTTCCAAATATCTATAAATATGTTATAACAGTATATGTAAGGAAAAAAGTGCTTAAAATCTCTGCGTAACCAAGACAAATTGGGGAGGTTGGGGAACATTTTACAGTCATTTTGAGATATTTCCTACTTCTGGTTTCCCCAGTAGGAAGGAGCCACCATTTTAATAGCCCTTTACTGGTAGTAATTATGTACCCTGTCAGAACCCTAAAACCATCTCATTTGTCTGGTCTGTGAGTCATCCAGTAGGTGGTGCTAAACAACTATACCTCACCTTTCTTGAGAAATCAAGAGAGCTATCATAGAAAAGAGTTAATATCAATTCTAAATATAAGCTCATTAGACCAGACCAAATCTTGTCATGTCATCTAGATTATTTCATTTTTAGAATTAATTACTAAAGCAGTTTTGTGTCACTATTTGCTTACACTACCAGATTAAAAACAAAGGGGAGAAAAAGTTGAGGAAAAGCCAACTGGCAGTGTCAAATCTGCATGTAGAATGAGAAAATGTTCTAGAATATACTTATAACTGTGTTTAAGAATGAGAGCATGTTTTCACGTAAGAATTCTCATTTACTCAAGAATGAATTTCCACAGAGGGATTTAGATGGTATTATCAGTTAGCTTCTAGACTGATCCGGAAAATGCATTAACTATAAAGATCCAAGATGAAATAAAAATAATTTCATCATAATTTTTAATGAGGAAAATTGTTTTAAATTGTAAAGAAAATATAATGGGGATGGGACGGCAAAATCTTAGCAGCAAAGTGGTTAAACAAATTGAAAATATTAATGCACAAACATTAAAATATTAAAGCATATATGTTGCATATAAAATACAGTACAGAACCAGGAGTTGCACTATACTGATTAGTGCTTAACAGAAGAAATGATTAAATCTGTCTTCCCAGAAGTATATACACAGTTTATTTCCACAGCATTTTCCTATATAGCCAGCAAGTTATTTTCTTTAGTTATTCACACCTTGCTCAAACCTGAATTAGGAACTCAGCAATTAGAAATATGAAAATTCACTCACAAGGAAAAAAACCCAATACTTCCATTTCATCAATAAAAAGTAATTTTTGAAAGTTAACAGTCTATTCTAGGAAACCAAATTTAGCTCAAAACTTCAGGAAGAAAGATCATCTGGTGTAGCAGCGTTCAAATATATAAACAGTAAAAATAAGACTTAAAATGGCTGCTACAATGTCATATTTTGGATTTTAGGTCATCCAATTGATTTTTAGTACAAAACTAGAAATAACTTCTTCATAACATCTACAGTTATCAATATATTTTTCTTCTTTTCAATGTGAAATAATACTTCAAGATGATCTATATACACAATGTTGTCAGTTCAAGCTGTCATATAAATATAAATGCTTTCTTAAAAAAAAGTATTTTACAGACAGATAGTGTTATATACATTGTTCAGTTTGATCTGAGGCAAAAGAAGAATGCTAACACAACAGTGATATGTAAAAAGAAAGACACATAAATGACATTTTAAAACTTGCATAGAAAAACGAGCTTCTAAATGGTAGTGTGATTTTAATTTTCATCACTTTTGAAACATCAGGCCATTAAAAAAAAGGCACACTTCTCATCTATATCCCTCTAAGGGAATGTTCTCAACGAACCCCTTACTTGGTTAGAGTTTTAATATAACACTAAAAAAAGAAAAGAAAAAAATATTAAAAAGACAATTTGACTCTGAAGTACTTTAAACACTTTGTTGGAACATTTACCCAATTACTTTGTAAATTAAACATCCAGTAATACAATGCTCTGAAGAAAATATAAATTTATATGTACAAGAGATTTCATCCAGAATGTTGGATAATAACTTCATGGGCAAGTTCAAAACATATTTTAAACATAATTATAAAATAATTTTGCCTTTAGCCAGTTTAAATAAAATGCAACTGAGGAAAGTTGTTATATGAATAAGCACTTAAGATTAAGTTAAAAAAATTAGTCACACAGCTGAACATATTCTGGGTTAGAAGAATGACAAATGGAGATCTCAGGGCTCGGTTTTAAACTATCCAGTTACATTTTTTTTTGGCCTGTAAAATGTTTGTTAAATGCAATAAAATGTTTTGAAGGAGGAAACTCTGAAAGAAAATAACTTGCTGCTTGAATACCACAAAACAACCAAAAACACTTAACTTTTTCTATTGTTTACTCAGTCTCTTTTTATATAAAAATAAGTGTTACGTTCCCATCAGATCATTAAACAATTACATCTGTGCTTAAAAAAAAGTTGGTCACTCAAGGCTATTAGATTATTTTTAAGGTTTTAGATTACCAGAATGTACAGATATAACTCAACATAAACTGTAGCCAAAGGGAAATGAAAATATCAAATCATTCACATGGAATACAAAACATTATTAACTAGATGAGTTAAACATTCAAAATATAATGGAATGTGACAGTAGACATATATGTATATATCTACTTTGGAACTAGGAAAGGGAAAGAAAAGTTTAATATGTAATAATTCGTACCTTACATTTAGTTAAATATAAATATTTGTTATTTATACATAAAACTGCTTCAAAAACCAACTAATAAATGATTTAGTTGTACTTGTTTTACTTCTTATAATTTCCAAGTGTTAACTTTTCTTAGATTTAAATCAAGTATCCCTTAGTGCACTTTTAGTTCATGTTCTAATGAATTCAATTCTTTAAAAGTCCCATCACCTAATGCATAAATATACAAAATGCCAAAAATTAAATCCCTCTGAGTTGAGTATTTTATGCTCATTTTTTATAGCTAATAACCAGAAATGGTCTCCTTTTGAAAATACTCATTACAGCCTGTAACAAAACATGCCATGCACCAAAGGGAAAAAGTTATGCATGGCTAGCATTTGTGAAATACCAAGAATTGACGAGTCCTGCTTCCTCCACGTGTGGCCCCAATGATACCAGGCAAGCTTCCATATTACTTGCCAAAAGCTTCCACAAATCCAAGCTAGTTAATTCCTGGAAACAAAGATTTTAAGCTCATTTTGGCACTGGATCATTTCATCCAGCAGCTTTATGTTTCCCACCACAGCACCCACAGGCCTCTCCACAGCGATGGCACATTCTCAAAGGGACATAGCAGCACATACATGGTACAATGAAAGACAAAGCTACCAGGGCTAACCATCGTAAGCAGAACTTGTCATCGCTAGTGTCACAAGAACAGGGATCAGAAAAATCTCCCTCAGAGTCTGACATACAATGATACAACATGCTCTCTGCACAGAGCATGCAACTAACTTGATATATGCATCTTTTAATAGGGTCTGGAGCATCCTGACATTTCCCTCTGCCATTTTCTTCATGATTAAACCTCTCCTGGCAGTATATGCAGCGAGAACGTTCACCATCCTCTTTTCTTCGTTTTGACTTCTTAAATTTTAATGAGGAAGGCTGTGTCTTAAATACCACAGAGTCTTTGAGTGAACTTAACTTAGTTTCATCACCACAAGAGTACAGATAATCAGGTTTTTTACTGTCTGATTTTGAAAACTGAATACTGGAGTCTGTATCATCTCTCTCCAAGTCATTTTTCCACATGTCAGGATGTCTGTAGTCTGCATAACGACGTATTAAGATATCACGAGGGTTAATTCTGACAATTTCATCTTCGTCTTGAAAGCTGACATGTCTGATAGGTTTCAAAGGACCCTATAGAGAAGACATGAAAATTTTAAGGACATACATAGTCTGGCTTTATGGGAAGTTTTTATTACACACACGTACTATTTATCGAAGTTTAATTTACATACAAAAAAATTATCTGTTAAAATTTAACAAAGGCCTCTATTGCCACTATCCAGTTAAAAAATATTCATATGACTTCACAAAAAGCTTCACCAAACATCCACTGTTTGGTTCAAAAAGCTAGTTTTATACCATTTATAACAGTGTAGAACAAGTTGTAAATATACAATATAAAATCAAGTTTCTTCTCTGTACTTGGCTTCCCCTCCACCTCACCAACCTATCCACAAAGTCAGCTTCCCTTGTCATTCTTCTATACTTGTGTATACCCCTTTCCTACAATTGTTGTTGTTATGTGCCGTCAAGTGGCTTGTGACTCACAGCGACCCCATGTACAACAGCCCTAAACACTATCTATCCCTTGCCAACCTTACTGTCTCTGACACACCTATCTCCATTACCCCAGTGACTGAATCACTCCATCTCATCAAGGGTCTTCCTCTCCTGTGCTGTCCCTCCGCCCTTCCAAGTATGATATCCCTCTCCAAGGACTTATCCTGCCTTGCAACATGTCCAAACAGAATCCTTGCCTCCAAGGAGCAGCCTGACTCCACCCTCTCCTAGTAGTTTATGGTATATTCAATACTTTTCTCCAGCACCAAAGCTCAAAGACATCAATTCTCCTTCTATCATCCCTAGTTATTGTCCAGCTCTCTGATGCATAGCAAGTAATGGCAAAGACCATGGCCTGTATCAGGCGCACCTTAGTGTCCAGACTGACATTGTTGTTCCTCAGGACCTTGGAGACTTCTCTGTCAGCAGACTTTCCCCGTGGAATTCGTCTTTTAATTTCCTGGATGCTGGTACCAAAAATGTTGATTGTGGAGCCAAGCAAACTGAAGCTGTCAACAATCTCAATCTCCCCCCATCTATCATGATGCTGCCAATCGGCCCAGTGGTGGGACTCTTTGTATTGTATTTCCTATAATACCACACCCTTAATCCAACAGTGTTCATTATGTATTTCCCACATCGTTCCTGGTGAAAACCCCCCCACTATATTTTCTCTATCTAAACTTTCCTCTAGTGTTTCTCCCTACAACAGCACTTTGCCACTTAGGACTTGCTTTTCTCAGCATGTCCTCTAGACTCACTCAAGTAGTGCAGTGTTTCCTAAACACCAGCTGAATTATTCCTCTCTCCTTGAAGTATGGCAATTTTCTATAAAGTTTACCAAATATTTACCAGTGTGTAGGCTTTCCCCCCTTTACGGAGAAACATTTTTTTACGTATCTAAGGATTTGATTTATAGAAGGTCATATTCTCCCATCTTATCTTCTGTTGGTTGCACATTTACAGCTAGCTGAGGCTTATTTATGCTGTAGGTTGTTGGGGTATTCTCTTAAGCTGGAACCACCATCTGACCCTCCAAGGGGTTTTAAGAGGCAGAAAAATGGTACAGAAGGAGACTGGCTAAGCAGCAGGTGGATAAGAACTTGGAGCCCAATTTGGCACAACTCCTTAGCATTTAGCCACAAGAACTCCCTATGCTGTAGACCACGGCTCCTAAATTTATTTCTATTCTGATCCTTTTCTGCTATGTTTATCGCTATAAACAGGGCTAAGGACTGGTTTTACCATGTACTAGAGGTTTTAGTATGAGGTTTTCATTCTCATTTGCTTCATTTCAATTTTTTACATGTCATACTACCTACTCACAAAAATTACCAAAATTGAGAATGGAAATACCAAAACACTTAAATAAGCTCATGCAAAACCGATAACCTAAAACAAGTTTTCCAAATAAAACAAGGAAGCAATGAGTGGTTTAATATGCTTTCTAAGCACTGGATTTTCATGCTTCTCTATTGTTTTAGTATTGTGCTGGCTGTACCCTCTCCTTCTTGTGATAATTTCCTTAATCCTGGCAGCTCTTTATTGCATGTCTTTGAGTAACTGTAATTTCCTAATTGTCCAATATAGGAACTTTGTATCATTGTATGTCTTCTGGCTTCTTGTCTCAGAGATTCACTGGATGGGCAATCTGATATGCTTTACTACAAGAAGACTTGTTTTGTCTGTTCATAATGTTTGAACTTGACTGCAGTTCCTTTAGCACTGTGGGAGGCTCTTCTTGCTATGTGTTGGTTGTACCTTTTCCATACGGTAGTAACATTTTGGTTTACTGTGTTTTACTTATGTTTTCATAACTTTCCTTCAGCTTTTTAAATTTCCAAGTAATAAATCATTGGAACAACTCCACACTGGCATGTATCTTCCAGCTTCCTGATTCTGGGATAATCACGGCGTTGGCAATTTGGACTGCTTCTTTCAGAGAAGATTTGAGTTTTTTCATGTTTGAACCTGACTGCTTCTTCCTTGCCATTATGCGAGGCTCTTCTTAGGACACTAAGGATGTGTAGGCACTGGGTGACTCAGAAGTTCCTAGGTTATTGCAAATGAGGTCTTCTTTGGTCAGATGAGGTCTTTTGGTGGTTGTCAGGTTGACTGTCTCCTTGATTTGGGCTGTTGCTGTTGGTAGGTCCTAAGAACCTTATCAGGGAGGGAAAGGTGTTCAGACTTGGTGTGCCATTTCAACTTGTCTCTAAAATGGTTGCTTTACTCCACCTTCCTCCTTCAATCTTTGTCTAATTTTGTGCTCAATAAGTTCCCCAATTTCAGGATTATTGTCAGTAGCTGGCTTTCCTATGTTCCTGCAGTAGTAAGTTTTCCAGTGTAACTAGTTTGCCATCCAAAAAATTCTTCTCTATAGCTTTACTTGAGAAAGAATGTCTTCAAAGCAGCAGCCCTGAAGTTCACCAGCAACTTGAATTCACCACTGAACATTCAAGCCAAATTCATTCCATGTAGTCCATTCCTGAAATATTTAAGTATCAGCAACATGAACACAATCCTCAACAAGTCCAGAGTGACCGCCCAAAAGTGACTTAGTATCTCTCTTGCTCACACTCCAAGTAGTCTTCTATGAATAAGGCCTACAGAAAAAGGAATCTTTCCTTCACTCATAAAAATAGCTTTAATTCATGCTGGAGTAAATTTCTCATTCAAAGGTTTGGATCTAGATCTAAAATCAGTTCTAGGTCTGGGCTAATGGATGTGATCCATCCACTAAGTTGACAATATGCAATGTCAGTAAAGAAACAAGTAACAATTTCCTAGACTCAAACCAGAGTCAGGCAGAGTTAAAGTAATACTAAGTCAAGTTTCCTCCAATTTGGAAACATATCCAACAAATTTATGAACCAAAATTTTTCCAGTATAATACAGAATTAGAATTCAACTTATTTGCTAGTTATATCATTATTAGACGAGAAACTGAAGTTACTTACCCTAGTTTGAGACTTGAGGCTTCCACACTCCTTGGATATTTGCCGTTGCACATATTCCATACCTTTGCTTTGAATGTCTAGGCCTGGCTGACCGAATGTTACCTGAAATATAAACAATTTCTACTTGAATAATAGAATGAAATCCTTATATTTAATTAAGCTATATACAGTGTACATTCCAAATATGTCACAGACTATTTCTATATGGTTGTGATATAAATGATGATTTATAAGTTATAGTCTAAAATGTGATCTATAGACCAAAAGTGGGGACAACTCAAATGTCCACAGCCAATTGTGGTATATCTATACAAAAGAGTATTATTCAAACAAACAAAAAAAAAAACCCTAACCCACCAATGTACTAATTTATGCCACAACATGGATGAACCTTGATGATAAAATGCTAAATGGAAGAATCCAGACATAAAAGGTCACATATTATAGGGAATGCTCAGAACAAGGAAATCTATAGATACAGAAAGAAAGTAGATTTGAGGTACCAGGGGCTGAAGTAGTTATTGAAATGGGTTTTCTTTTTGGGTGACAAAAAAGTTCTTGAATTAGAAAAGTGGTGACAGGTACACATTCTTAAGGCTGGAACTCAGAAAATGATTAAGGTGATGATCTAAGTGGCAAAGAATAAAACTTTATAAGCCTTTGAAAACAAAGTAAGGAGAATATTTCTGAGGTAAGGACATGAGAGGTATTTAGCAAAGCAGTATCAGTAAAATAATATCTATTTGAATAATGATTTATGAATAATATATTCAATCACATTAAAATTTAGACCGCTGTGTTTATCAACCACCACAAATAAAGTAGAAAACTATCACAAAGTAGGAGAGAATCGTCCCAAATAGAATTCTAAAAAGTATTTGTACTCCAAATACATGGAGAAATTACATACATTTAAATAAAGTACATTCATTTAAAAATCCATGCTTGTACTTGTAAATAAATTTATACATTAACATCAGGGGATAAGAAAGTTTGTACTTGCAGTATGCTTACCAAAAGCAACAGCACCACTAACAAATTAATAATCTTTTCTCTAACTTTAATATTTTGGACTATATTTATGGTCTGGCTTATTGAGGAGTTGCTAGAAGAAGTTCCCAGATGATGTAGAAGACTTGGCTATCTTCACACTTGCTCAAAGTTGCTGCTGTTGTGTTGTTCCATCAAGTTGGAATCAACCCATAGCTGACCCTTCAGAGGGTTTTCAGAAGCAATAAACCACATGGGCAGAGACTGCCCATCTTCTTCCCATGGAGCAGCTGATGGATTTGAACGGCATACTTCTGTGTCAGAAGTACAATTCCTTAGTACTAAGTCACTTGAGTCCCCTCTCCCCAAAAGAATTTGTGATTAAAAGACTTGAGGGCACAGAACTTTAATTGTCACTGTTAAATTATTCTAAAATTGTTATTTTCTGTCTGGAACATCCATCACCATCTCAAATCGAGAAACACTATTTGGAGACAGTAGCTGAATAATTTCTATTTTTCAAAGACATCAAGTCATAGATTCTACCATCATTATTTAAGATTAACATAATAAAACAGCTTAAAACGAAAGACAATCCATTGTAATAAAATTATGGAAGTTAGAAGATAATGACATGCATCTTACAAAAACTCAAACATTAAGAAACAAATGTGTAATGATTCTAGAGAGTAATAAAAAAATTAAAGAACAGTAAAAAGCAGTTGAGTAAACAGAAGTTAATACTGCTTTCTTACTAAATGAGTTATATACATATATACATATATACATATACATATACACATATATACATATACACACATA